GCCGCCGGACAATAGGAAACTATTGGGCGGAGCTAGCTGTCACTGCTAGCTCTGCACAATCGTTTTCTATTAACTTTTTTCTACTTTTTTCACTCTTTTTCTGTTCTGCTCGGTGCCTCTGAGGGACCGAGCAGAACAGCCGAGCCAACGGCATTCGGCTATTCTCTCACTGCTGTTCAGGATCTTTCAGAATAGCCCGAACAGCAGTGTGAAGCCTGCCGGAGGTTCGGCTCAGCCGATCCAGATGTTGGATCGGCTGAGTCGAACTCCTTCTGCACTTGGGGTCAGCCGAACATGCTGAGCATGTTCGGCTAATCCGAAGCCACACGAAGCAAGCCGATGTACGGCTGATTTCAGCCAATGTACGGCTGAAATCAGCCGTACCAGCCTGAAGTGAATAGCCGAACAGTGTTCGGCTCACTTCACTTATGATCGGTCATTCACTCGGCTGCCCTCAGCAGCTTTGTGAATAGACCCCTTTGTCTTTTACGTTATTGAGGATATTGTGTTACCTTCCCTGTGTCCAGCATGGGTATACTACAGGGAGATTTTTCTCCAATGCCTGGATATGGTAAGGCCCATCGGGGTTTAACTCTCTACCACTGCTCCTTTTAGCCTGATTCCCTTTTCGTTTTTTCCAGGAGGTCCTAAAAGACAATCTCTGGCTTCCAGACCCACTATTTCTAGTGGATTAAACAGATTATTATACAGGCCTGTGAGCTGGTGAAATAAAGTGCCTCCTTTTCCCATTAAAGCCCATTCCAGTAGAGCAGTAATTGCTTTGTTTTTTTCATCAGGCCCCCCTGTATCTTAGATCTGTCAGGCTTGCTAGTTTACTATTGGCTATTGCAAATTGAAATAGCCAATAGTAATGTCCCAATCCTTTTCAATGGGACAATTCTTTTTTTTTTCTATTCTGACACCGCGTGTCAGAATAAAGAAAAAAAGACACATCAGTGCTTCTCTCCTTGGCGGCCGGGAGCGGGAGGCTCCCAGAGCGCCCGGGAGAGATTTTGTGTCCTTTTTTCTTTTACAGCAGCAGAGCCGCCGGACAATAGGAAACTATTGGGCGGAGCTAGCTGCCACTGCTAGCTCCGCACAATCGTTTTCTATTAACTATTGCTATTGTTCTCTTGTTGGACTGTTTGCTACAAAAGAGCAGGTGTGAGGTGGGAGAGATACAGCCTCAAGGGGGCTGGCCTTCAGTTTTGTATGTGCCTAGTGCTCCTTTCTCCTGTAGGCAGCAGTATAACCTCCAGCTTGCTTATAGTGCATTTCCACTTTTGCAGCCAAATTGGGGATAACACCTAATTTATGTTTGTTATATGTCTCTATTCACATAGCATAACTTATAGCATACATATTTAAAAATTGCTGCTTACATTTTAAGTGCTTTTTACTTACATTACAATCCTACCTAGCATCCCCCTAGTTAATGCTAAGGAGAGGGCTGGGAAAGTTATGTTTAAACTAACTAATTTAAACACTGTCTATCTTAACAAAGGGTTAATGACTTTAGAAGTATTGTATGTTAATAAGAAGCTCAGTCTGTCCCTCAGTATGTCCCTCAGTTTGTCCCTCAGTTTGTCCCTCAATTTGTCCCTCAGTTTGTCCCTCAGTTTGTCCCTCAGTTTGTCCCTCTACTTTTACTTTCAAGCTGGTCAAAGGGCTTCACCAAAGAAACACCTAAAAGATAAGAAATATATTTTGATTTAATTATTTTAAGTATGCTGTGTGAAAAGGAGCACATAACAAACACATAGTGGGTTTTTCTCAAATTTGACTGCAAAAATGAAAATACACTTTGATCATCATCAAGTTGTGCCCCTCAAATGACTGAGAAAAAAAGTTACATTTCATACAAAACTCCTTTTTTTTATTTTATTTTTTTATTTAAATACAGAAAAAGGAACTACTTGGGACCCGGCATTATCTCATGCAAGATGTGGCCATAACCATCACAGTCATATTAACATGTAAGTACCCTACATGTTTTCCTGTTCTACTTGTTGATATCTGATATGTTCTTTTTACCTTATGTAAATACATAAGCCAAACTATAAATTAGCTTGCAAAATACCATTGAAAACAGATCAGTTTTATCATACTTAATAATAATTATACAGAGAAAACAAATGTATTATCATTTGAAAATTACTGTTATCTTAAATATTATCTTTGCATGCAAAGATAAGCTAGTTTCATTTTCTCCTTGATTACAGATGATTGAATCAATTAGCCCTGTTTAGGGTTCAGTCTGCACTGACTAGGCTCAAGACAGATATACAATAAATTATCTTTAGGCAGTTTTACCCCAAAACATTCTGTAGACTTCCTGCCTTGCATGTCCTCCCATTCTCCCTTTCTGTCTTCCCACCCTTTTATACAACTTCAGATACATTTATAAACAAGCTGACCATTTTCCAGGTACACTTGGAGTTGCATACGTCTTTCAGTGCTACATACAAGGTTACTCACAACCCTTACCATTAGTCAGTGTGCATTTGCAAACTTTATAATCTTCAGTACATCGACTGTGCATTGTAGTGTTCTGTATTGTAACTATGATTCATTTATCACTTTTATAACTCATTGCCATAAAGTCACAAACTTCCACTGTGCATTTCTAATAGTGACAGTTCTGTGGTTCCAAGCTGGCAAGTCAGCTGTTGCCATAAACGCAGACAGGTCAATTTTAAGTCCTGTTACTACTTATGTGTCTATAGTGCTTGGAGTGCTTGGTACTTAGACTCTTAATTCAATGATCACATCTTGGGGAGATCTCCAAATGCTTGGCACTGTTCATCTTAAAACTCATGTACAATGACCCAAAGAAAACTGATTATTTATGCAATTTAAACATTTCCATATAGTACCAGTAATACACCCTTGCATAATTTAGAATTGTGAAAACTAATCTTAACTTTACTGATAACAGATGACAGGTTACATAAAATAGCAGTCTCAAGGTCTCACGCTAAGGATCCATCAACCTACGCAGGGGTCGTCCACCCTTTTCAAATTTTCAATATTTGATGAAATGTGACTTGGGTGCTAGCTGGCGTGCAGGTTTAAAAAGTCTTTGGCCACAGGCCACAGACATGTAATATTTCCATTACATGTAGATTCGGGTGACTTAAACCCCTAGCTGACCACTTCTATCTCTTGTGTACTCTGGTTAAATAATCCCCCCCCAGCATGACAAAAGCATTCTTTAAGCTATGAACATGCATGTAGGATCAACAACTGGGTTTAACAGATGTTCAGCAAAGGAATCCACTTACAGTAGATAAGCTTTTAGCTTAGAACTAATTGTATGCAAAACACTGAAAAGTGATAAATGTTTTGCATTATTGCTTTAAAATGTTTTGTAATTCTTTAACAGGCACATTTCATATTACTTTACCTAAAGCCGTGTGACTATAATAATATATTTTAATATATTGCTATTTTTTTTAAAGTGAGTTTAACTGGCCCAGCACCTAAACTGGCTCCATACAGACCATCTGGACAGCTAATGTCACCACCTCTCTTACTGTCAATGATTCTGCATTTCATATTCACCGTGATTGTGCAGACAGTTGCTTTCACAGTGGTTCAACAGCAGCCTTGGTATGATGAGCATGATGTCTTCAGGTAATTCTGTCTCAGAACACAATTTGCAAAATTCTTGTTAATAAATATGATAAATTGGATTAGAGCTTGCATTCTTCCTTTATATTAAAAATAATAACTGCATTTTGCAGTCTGCTGACTTTTAATCGGTTCCTTGCCCCACGAAATCACAGTATTTCCTTAAAATAATGAAAAAAACGTAACCATTCACACAGTGCTACAAACTTGTGCACATGAAATTGCCTTCTAACTGCTGAATGCCATAATGATCCTTTTATTGGTGCAATGATGAGGATAGAAAAAGCATTGTCCATTAAGTGTCAGAGATGTGAGTTTAGTTACTATCTCTACTACCATGACATGAGAACCTTTATTTGTCAAATTACCCTGATGTTGTCTGCACACAATGTTAGTACTGTTCTCCTCTGAAATAAGAGTATTTTTAAAGAATCTATGACCTATTATTTAAATAAAAATGCATTCAAGTACCTTACCTATTAACAAAAATGTATCTTATTTGTTTATTACTCAGCTGTAGATCCTCAAATCATCTCTGAATTGGTGCTGACACTGTCCTTCCTTCTGGAGGGGGGCTACTTTTGTTCCCCATGGTCCCTGTGCATGTTGTAAAGTAGCCACCGCTCCAAGCTCACTCCTGTGATGGACTATGATCTCACATTTGGTTTACTAATTTGTATTAAGATTGTAGTCCATCATGGGAACGAACTTGGAGCGGTGGCTAATTTACAACATACACAGGGACCATGGGGAACAAAAGTAGACACACGTTTTTAGTTAATAGTTTGGGTACGTGAATGCATTTTTAAGATTTAATTTCTGAATTTACTATCACTTTATAGTATAAAGGTGAGGGGATGTGTCCTATCAGACAGTTGTTAGCAGAACGGGTTTCTCCATTGGAATATTTCCCCTCGCTTCTCTTTTCTGTGATAGCTCAAACATTTTTGTTTGCCCATCATTTTCTGTATCAGGGACAAAAGTACCCAGGACACATAGAAAGGGTGACCAACCCAAGTGGGAGCACAAAGACAGAAAATAAAATCAAGACAATGGATCTAACCCTTTCTCATTCTGTTTAAAACTAATACAAAAAGTCAAGCAGTAACTCTAGCATGGTACATTGTATCTGCATGATAACACTGCAGTATTCACCTCCCCTGTTTTATATTGTAAAACAGAGCTCAGGTTTGACAACAGATTTTATAAATGTTCTTGTCATCTCAGCATAAAACAACTCCATTTTATATAATGCTTATGAAATGTATCAAATCCAAACTAAACATGTTTTGCTATAAACTGAAGATTTGCTGCTATTCAGAAACAGTGAAGCTGGACACCGTTATCATTTTTACTTTTTAATTCCTTTATTGCAGTGGATGTCTTCCCTTAAATCACAGTGCTCAAAATATCACAATAAGTGAAGAACTTCTAGTTAATCGAAATTTTAATACAACTACTTTGTGGTTTGTAAGTGGGATCAATCTTATTATTGTGGAATTTGTATTCTGCAAAGGAAGGCCTTTCAGAAAGCCAATATATACTAACTGTGAGTACTATCTTCTTTCTTGATTGATTTTTATGAGAACCATGAAATAGAAAAAAACTATTATATTGTCTTTTAAAAAGACATCTGAACATCATTTCTCAACCTGCTAAAAGTCCTATGTAAAACATTCTGACTGCTTCTTCTTTGGCTGCTGACCACTAAACACAGCCTCAGTACTTTTTGCCAAAGACTGACCTTCCAGTGGAGCCAGCTAATCAGTGCTTCTGACAGGGTGCATGTATCCTGCTGTTGTAGAGGGTTATAAAATGAGTTAGCAGTAGGTTAGGTGTTAGGTCTACTTTACTTTTGCAAGCAGTTCCTGACTTTAACAATCCTCAGCACAATGGCTTGTGCAGTGGGAACTTTAATCTAAATTCCATTTTGGACAGAGCAGATCAAAAGTACTGGTCTCATGCCAATGTTCGGGATACAATCAGCATGGTTCCTAAACATAAGTATAAGATTATAGTGATGTCATGGGTTTGTTTATAAAACGAACCTCTTGAGCTGTAATTGTGCCTTGCACAGAGAGAGATACAATGACAACTGCGGTCAGCAGGCTACAGCTGTAAGAGTGTTATACACACACTGAAAAAAAATAAAAAAGTAAAGTTAAAAATATTGTAAGCTGGAAAGTATAAATTGCATTTTAGAAAAAAAAATCCAATGTATAAATTATATATTGACCAGTGAACAATGTTTAATATAAAATATAAGGTAATTTATTAAAATAATGTATTTATTTAAAACCTTACATGCCCCTAATCACTTAAGGACTGGAATGTTACACCCCCTTTCTGACAAGGGCATTTTTCTGTTTCATTGCTGACATTTGATTTGATTGACAATCGCTTGGTCAAGCAACACTGTACCCAAATGATATCATAATTTTTTGAGATGGATAACATTTTCTTTTGGTGATAATAAATAACCATTTTTAAAATATTTTTACTAAATAAAGTAAAAAATCTAAAAGTTAAAAACATCTTTCCTAAAGTTTCAAGTGTAAAAAAAATAAGTGTCATAACAATATTAACCTCCATAATGACCCTTTTTTTGGAAAATGGACAACCTAAGGGGATCTAATTGTTTGCCACAATTCTATGTAAATAAAAAAACATGCTGGCATTGAGTTGGTTAAAGAATAAATTAAGGTGCCCTAATAATTTGCCCATTGAGGCCAAGTTCAAGTCTTCCATTATTGGAGGAAGAAAGTTAAAAAGATAAAACGTTAGAAGCTTGAATAACATTGTGTGCAATGGCTAGATGTCATGGATAAACCCAATACACTTGAAATACCCCATACAAATCCCACTATTATTGGTGGCCAATGGCATTTGAAACCACATAACACCATCATTAGTGGTCAGTGGGACTTTAACCCCCCAACAATCTCACAATATTGGAGGTCAATATGTGTGTGCGTGTGTGTGTGGAGCATGCACACTCAAGAATGGGAGAGGTATATGCACCCATCACAGAAGGGGTGATGTCTCTTCTATTATACTGGCTAGGCGCAAGGTGGTTAAACAATCTGGTAAATATTTAGGTGACACAAAAATGCTAAATTATGTCTGGAAATTTAGACTTTACTGACGTCTAGATGTGTAAAGTCAGAAGTAAATAATGTTTAACCTTATAATATAGACTTTAGCACAAATAAGACGTTATAACTTATCTTATATATAAGTTACAAGACTCGACGGAATGAAACGCAATCTAAGCTTTGCTTGGCGTACCATGAGGGTTTTGAATATTAAAATGGAAATGTAATCAGCTGCAATTATTTTAGTATTTATAAAATAGGTATTTGTTATTATTATTATTTAATAAATAATTAATATACTTTACATCACACTACAGAGTATACAGATCTTAAACTTTATGAGAGTTTCAATCCCAAAAAAAGGTTTAATAAGAGTTTACTCAAAAACACCACAAAAATACAAAAGTAAAAAGAAAGAAGTACAATTTTCCAAAACAATGACCATTAAAGTCATTAAAGTCGAAACACGAAATAACGGATATTCCGAAACGAAACGGATTTCCCCCTCCCCGCTCCGATCCGCCAGCGCTGACTGGTGGCGGGTACAGCTGGCTCTGCCTCTAGATAGGCAGAGCCAGCTGTCAGTCACGCAGCTGGGCGGATCCCGGCATAATTGTCGGGATCCGCTTCAGCTGCGGCGTCTCAGTATACAGCGATCAGCAGCTTGCGGTATACTGCAGCGTTTCAGTATACCGCGAGCTACAGCTCGCGGGAATACTGAGCCTAGGGTGACGGGAGGATGCTAGTTTGTGTCCTCCCGTTACCCTAAGGAGAACTATGGGGAAAAGCCTTAACCCCATAGTTCTCCTTTAAAGAATGATTTTACATCAAATTAGAAATGTAAGCTTATTTTCAGATATTGTTTTTTTTTATAAACTGTATGCTAGCTAAGTACTAGTATTACTACTAATGATAAGAATTGTAAGTTCTAGAGAACAGAAGTCAGTTTTCCTGTCTTTCATTTGCAGATATCTTTACTATATTGCTTCTTGCACAACTGGCTGCCTATTTTTTTGTCTACTTTGCTGATATTGAATCAGTTTACCGTATTATGGAGGTAAGTCTGCCGCACAAATAGACATATTCATGTCACAAGAAACATCTGAGCTTGCAAAGCATAATGTGATTTATATGATTTTGAGTCCACACAAAGCTGACTTTTTTTTTTTTTTTTATCAACCCTGGCTGATTAATTGGCCAGATTTCTATACTTGAGTTTCTATTGTTTGTGAGCCTGCTGAAAACATGCCAAGGTGGTCACTCTTACCTGTTAAATTTTGCAAATATGATACATTTTCAAGATCATGGCAGGAAAGAGTGATAATCCCCTTATTGATATAGACTTAGATATTTCAACCAGCAATTTTCATTAGTGGGGTGGCTAGGAAAAAAAACAAACTCCAGAGGGTGAATCCCACCCATGACTGTTTGGGTGAACTGATGGTCAGCTCATTCAAAACCAGTATTTCAGTTTTGGTAGATATTGGAGAATAAAGCTTAAAGGAGAACTGTGAGGTGAGTGCTTTTCATTCACCTCATAGTTCTAGCCGACCTGTGACAATGAGACTGTCACAGGTCGGCTCAGTAGATCGGGAAGTGAGCGAACACATACCGGCGTTCGCTCACTTATCGATCCTGTCACGGCTCTCTGCCATGACAGGGGAGGGGCTGGATTCCCCCTGCCACGCTCAGATCCTCCAGCGTTGACTGGCGGATCGGGCGGGGGAGGGGGCGGGTACAGCTGGCTCTGCCTCTAGATAGGCAGAGCCAGCTGTTACTCATGCAGCTGGGCGGATCCAGACATAATTGTCGTGATCCGCTTCAGCTGCGGCGTCTCAGTATACCGCGAGCTGTAGCTCGCGGTATACTGTGGCGTCTCAGTATACCGCGAGCTGTAGCTCGCGGTATACTGAGCTTAGGGTGACGGGAGGATGCTAGTTTGTGTACCCCCGTTACCCTAAGGAGAACTATGGGGAAAAGACTCGACATAGTTCCCCTTAAATTAAATAGCTCTTAGGAATGCTGGTGGTGAGACATCCTGCGCTTGACCTCTTAGGTTTGCCCACTTGCCCACCCTTTACATGCGACTCCCATGTTCTCTGTATGAATTACTGGGAGGAGCCTCTATTTTTTAGGAAAAAAGAGTATAACACCTTAGTAGCTGGGCACAGAGCCAAGACCTGTGGTAGCAAGATCATGCCAGTGGAACCCCCAAAAGATATGTGATTTACCTCTAAAAATGAAATAAGGCCTAGATAAACTGAAACTTTTAACAACTAATGCATGTAAATTGTATGTTGTAGGGAATGCTAGTTCCAGAATGGTATATGCAAAATGAGTAGCACAACGCTAAAGGCAAAATATGTGATTTTCATAAGTATGTGGGGCTGATTTGCTAAAGAAGTAGAGCATGTTCACCTTGCAATTTTTACTTTGCAAATGTGTTCATGTGGAAAACTTACTGCAATTTTCTATCCAACAAACAGCTTTGTGTAAAAATGTAATCTCATGTATAAGTAAAAGTATACATTTTTTCACATTACTTTCATTTACAGTAATACCTTGGTTTATGTTCATAATTCGTTCCGGAAGCATGCTTGTAATCCAAAGCGCTTGTATATCAAAGCGAATTTCCCCATAGGAAATAATGGAAATTCAGATGATTCATTCCACAACCCAAAAATATTCATATAAAACGTATTACAATAATGTACTGTAATATAATACTGTACAAAATATAAAGAAAAATAAATCAATTACCGGTAACTTTGTGGCTGGTGTGAGGGAGACAAGAGAGAGGAGGATTATTGTGTAGGACGAATTTCACTATCACTAACGGAATCACTGCTATCTCTTGGCTCAATGGAATCTTTTTCATTTTGTGAAACCTTAACAAGGAATATATCCAATGTGACGTTGCATTGTCGTTAAACATATTCATCACTTGCACTGCTACAGCCTTATTCGGGTGGTGCTTTTCTACAAAATTTTGCTCCTTGCAAGACATTGCTTGTACATCAAGGCAAATTTTTCAGAAATGTTTGCTTGTCTTGCAAAACACTCTCAAACCAAGTTACTTGTAAACCAAGGTATTTCTGTACCTATGATTTTTTTCTCAACTTGAACACATCTTCCTCCTGATTTCTCATTAACAAAGTACTTTTGCCCACAGAATTTTATTTCTCTGTAAACCCTAGTGCATAAAAATCCCAGGATGTCAGCAGTTTTTTTCAAATGCTGCTAGTACCACATCTAGCACCAACAAGTGTTCCATTGTTGAAAATGATTAAAGCCCAACTCGGTACAACAAAGAAAACTCCTATGCCTTCTTTCCATGCTAGTCCCTGGGCTAAAAAAAAAACATTTTAAGCTAGCTTTTATACTTGCCTTAAGTCACAGTCATGTGCTCATCCAGCGCAGAGTCTTTAATCTGTTTACTTCCTGCTGTCCAATGGAGGGGTCTTCTAAGGACCAGAAAACTTCTAACATTGGCAAAGAGAGGGAATCCAGGGGCGAGAATTATTGGAATAGTGGAAGTAGCATTATCGAGGAACCTGGATGCGGGGGACTCGGGGGAGCATATAAAGATAAACATATGTAAGATAATCAAAACACCTGGCAGCATGGGTTATAGGGAAGTGAGAGAAAGGGATGGGAGGAAGACAATTTTTTTTAAATAGGAGTTGGGCTTTAATCATGCACCTTTCCCTTCCTAATGGAAATAAACTGTGCATATATGAAGTTGAATACAAGGGGACCCAAAATACACCCATATAAATGCACTGCTCTCCAATGTAATTATATTATTCCTTTTATTTCAGTAACCTATAGTGACCATTATTTTTATATGTATGATTAAAATTAACTGATATCTGTGTTACAGTTTGTTGGATGTTGCAAAACTTTCCTCTAGTTCAGCATTAGCTCTTAGGTAAATAAGGTTGTTTAGGATGTATTTTAGTAATGTTTCTCTTAATTATTGCTCTATTCCCACACAGCTTGTCTGTACACCGTATTACTGGAGATGGAACATGGTTATTATGGTGGCTGTGCTTTTGGTCGTTTCATACCTTGTTGAGGTAATATGTAAATCTTCACATTATGTTTCACATTTAGGGCTCTTAAGATTTTCACATACAGATGTAAAAGCTGGCATGAAGGTTCTATTTGGTCACATTCTTCTGCAGTCAAGGATGACATTAAAAACAGTCTAAATTGCGAAAGTAATGAGGATAATATTGTTTACTCTACACACCCCAACATTTCAATTTTTATGTATGGCACTAACATGTTTTACCCATTTGATTCAATGAGCTGTCAATAGGAATTGCTGCTTCTAACATTTTTGGAATCCTATTTACTTTTGTCTATTAGCAGACAGTATAATTTTGTTTTTATCACATATTATTTATTTCCTTGAGATATTGCCATTGTATTAACTGTTTAAATATGTCAGGTAATAGCACACTTTCATTTAATGTACAAACTAAAAATGAAGCTTTAAAGACCAATTTGGGACTGCTGTGTAGCTTTAAAGACCGATTTGGGACTGCTGTATATTTTGACTTGGTGCTTGTGAAATAGCCCAATTAAAGGAGAACTATGAGGTGAGTGCTTTTCACTCACCTCATAGTTCTAGCCAACCTGTGACAATGAGACTGTCACAGGTCGGCTCAGTAGATGGGGAAGTGTGCGAACACATACCGGCATTCGCTCACTTCTCGATCCTGTCACAGCTCTCTGCCGTGACAGGAGTGGCTGGATTCCCCCCTCCCCGCTCCGATCCTCCAGCGCTGACTGGCAGAATGGACGGGGGAGAGGGCGGGTACAGCTGGCTCTGCCTCTAGATAGGCAGAGCCAGCTGTCACTCATGCAGCTGGGTGGATCCCGGCACATGCGAGCAGGTGGCATGGGATCCCCCAGGGCATGGAATCTAAAGGCCAGCCGTTGTTCCACCAGGGACCCCCTCATGGAAGTTTGGACTTAGCTGCGTGCTGACCCCAGGTCACGACCCCAGGTTCACCCTGCTCGCGAGGAGAGTACTTGAAAACACTGTGCAGGCAGGGATGGATAATTGGAGCAAAAGGAGATCCAGATAACGAGCCAAAGGTCAGGGCGGGCAGCAGACAATCTTAAACAGGAGGACAAGCAGAGTCGGTACACGAGAGATCAAAGCACAGGTAAAACAGTTCAGCAAGAATTGCACAGAAGGGGCTCAGGAACAGGTGTTGCTCATGCAACGAGAAGCTGGTCTGAGAGAGATTTAAATAGGGAGACAGATAGGAGGCAGGACAGGAAGTAGCAGGGAAGAAGGGTAAATTGACCCTTAGGTGAAGTGAGCGACACCCATAGCCACTAACACAGTGCAGCAAGAGGAGAGCACATGCTAGTGGAATCACAGGTGCCAGCAGATCCGCAGCAGCAAACAGTTAAAACAAATGCAAAGCAGAGAACACCATGCTGATAAAGAAAAAAAACATTGCTGTCTCTGTTTTAATTGTAGATAAATCTCCTCACTTTATGTACTAGTGTCACCTGTTACAGGTAGGCCTCACCCAAAAAAAGGGCAAATATAACCCCTATGCTGGTGCCTTTTTGGTCAAGGTAGCCTATTGTAGGCAGGGGGTGTATCTTGGCTGGCCTCCAGACTGTGGAAGGTGCCTGCATAGTTCTGATGAAAATGGCAATAAGAAAAGCTGGCAGTAGCATCAGAGATTCATTTTCTGCTCCTGGTTGGGATAAGTGACTACTAAACAGCAATGTCAGTGAACCCTCCTTTCATTGATTATCAATGTAAGAGTGCACAACACAGACTATTAATGTAAGGAGGCCCTTTAATGAAGACCACAAAAAACCTATGTAAGTGGGTCTGTTTGCTACTTACCACATTTCTTAAGGGGCAGGTCACCCACTGACCAACAATAAGTAATCAATGTAAGATGTCCAGTTCAATGAAGACAGCTCTCTGGTATATGGGGTATGCCTGAGGGTCCCCAGAAAAGTATAAGCAAAGTGCAAAAGGATGAGAGTGCCACACTCAGTAAAAAGTCAGAAGACAAAGCCAATGTATTTCACGGGTTTAAGGTTTCCCTTTCATCAGGACCTTAAGCTGGCTGTAATAGATACATACAGATATATAGATATATATATATATATAGATATATATATACTGGAAACACAATTGTAAGGCAATGCATGTT